TCCTATGAGATTCTCATATATGTACACCCGTAACCAGAGGCATCGCATATCTATGTACACGGTATCTTTGCGCGCTTCTTCGCCACTTTGTCTACACGCCTTCTTGCGGATGCCAGCATGGAGATGTTATCCATACAAATGAATGTTAAATTGCACCTTTTGCATATTCACATTAAGCTTAATGCAACTCACAACTTCCTCTTTGCCCCACCTGCTTTGAAAGAATTTAGTGTCCGAAGAGCACTTTGATAGTCCCGAAAACTACCTCCAGAGCCCGTTGCAAGGAGTATACCTGCCAGCTCCGTTGTGTAGTACTGGCCCGAATTTGTACTCTCCTATTATCTTGTTGTAGTATGCCAGTTTTGTATACATCATTGGACATAGATTTTTGTGTTCCTTTATCGTTGCAGATTTGTGTATTGAGGGCGCATATGTGTTGAATCAATCACGTTTGCTTGCGTGTTTTATGTTGCAGTTGTTTTTTGGAGATATGACACGATCCTTGTTCCTCCAGAGTTTTGACCCCAATATTATTCTATCAGAAATGGATGGTAAATTTATTTCTGATTCGCATTTTCACTACCTTGCTTGTTCTCAGGTCTAAGAAAAATGCTCATAGCTTCATTTTGCACTCCTCCAAGCTAATTATTTCTGATTCATTAACACCACGATTGCAGTACTTAACCTTAGTCTTTTCTTAGAGAAGGAGGATATGTCTGCATCATTTACGTTCACCCTGCGATCTATTTAATTAATGACATAATGTCAATCTCCTGGCACTTATGTGAAAGGGGTAGGGGTATGATACATGGGTAGAATGTTTTCCCATTGTAGATGACATTCATTCTCAGCCTTTGTTTGTGATTTGTCGTGAAATATTTGGCAATCTCATGATGATGCTCTGGCACATATTTCATTCAGCATAGATATAATGGATTCACCATCTCCAGTGGAATATCTACCACCAGCATGAGGAACATTGAACAGCATAGGGCTGAAAAACTTTTCCCAGTGGTAGTTCCAAGATCTCAGTCCCCGAACAAGATAATTCTAATCCAGCTAGTACTTTACCCCGATGCCAAAGCTTACTAGTTATTCTAAGTATAATTTCTCTCTGTTGGCAGTGTCAAAAGCTGGAGAAAGGTCACGAAAAACAGTGTGCTTCCCTGGTTAGAGCTTGAAAAGTACTCTGCAAGCAATGTTGTGGGCTACTCCATAAATCCGTACAGTCTGTGAGATAATTGAACCTTTTACCTGTCCTAAAACTATATATACACGTGAAATTAGTGAAATTGAGCGGTATTTATCAGTGTTTGGTTTCGTATATGGATGATGAGAATGCGCTTCCAGGGGCCAGGAGAATACTTGAGACAACTTAACTTGTACCGGTACAAAAGCTGATTACCGGTACCTGAGCTATAGGTAATTCCATCCTCCCTGGGGCATATGCTTTTCCTGTGATTAGTCCAGTTCCCACCCATTATCTCAGCAAAGTCTGAGGGTCGGTATCAAAACTCAATCTCATGGCAATTTAAAATTTATTTTAAGACTGCTAAGATCGATTTACAGAATATATTTTTAAATGTGAGCTCTGGAGCTCCAGCCATGGACCTACCGAGCATATTCTTGTGCATCGGTAAGGAAGGATAGAAATTTTAAGCCTAATTTCGTTCTTGCTATATTGACTATTATCAAACATGTATCTGATATACTGCAAAGTGGTTACGATTAGCTATGTTGAAGCATGCTTATGACCATTCCATGCAAAGATCCCTTCCTATATGTAAGCTAGCCTGCTCCGCAGTGAGTTTGCTGGTCATATACGTCAAGATATAGTTCACAAAAATGTCGAAACTCTTCGCTATTTTTCATTACATTGACTATCTAGAAAACGTATAATATGCTAGCATTTAAAATCTCCAATGAATATGGTGACGCGATCTGAACAGTTGAGCAGTGATTGCAGTTGAAGCTTTTTATGTACATTATAGAGCGTAAAAACCTAGAGGCCGACTTTGCCAGTAGAGCAAAAAATCCGTTATATAATTTTCACCCTACGTGCATTTAGTACTGCGGCACCGTCACTGAAAAATAGGAGGAAATATGCAATTTCCAAGCTTGTAACATACTGCGAAAACTTTCCGACACTATTCACTTGAAAAATGTAAGGAACGAGGTAAAACCTCATGATTTTATAGTATGACACCATTATTGATGGAATGTAGCAACAAGGAGATGTATCTTTGGATAATTGTATCCATGAGAATATGGCTTGAGTTTGCTACTGTCAAGTTTGTTGTAAAACAACACAGGATCATCTGCATTAATCCGGTGGTGGAAAATGTACCTACAAGTTCATCTTACAACGTTGAAGCTTAGAAATCAGCAACGAGAAGACTTGGACAGATCTTGCAACACAACCTCTCAGCTATGTGTTCAATAAGATGCTCTATAAGACTAATGTCATGGGCGACGTACCAGACACAGCTCGCTATTGACATGCCGTAGGGTTCAACTATTTCTGAATATTAGTACCGGTTGACATGACGGTATGATTCAAAATATTATTTGATTCCTGTTAAGGGACAAACAAGGTGTAATTTAAAACGATGAGATCGCAGAGTGGTTGCGAATATCAGAGCATTAAAAATATTCTGAGGTAAATGATTATCTTACAATGATAATTAAAACTGTTTGGTTATTGCTTATATTGCTATATATAATTTATGTTTAGGTTGTGGTTTAGTGCATATGCGTCATGTAACCCTGTATTGTAAAACTATTGATATAAACCAAAACGCTTTAGATATTTGTCTTGTTTTTCTACATTTCAAGATAGGTCCGTGGGACGTGGTTAAAAGGTGTAGTGTATCAGACCTTGAAACTATTATTGTTATTATTTTTACTTGAAGAATTGGAATGTCTTGACTGCTATTTGTAGATGTGTTAATCTTTTGGAACTGATTTTTTTCTTTGTATACAGATAAAGGAAAGGAGTTGATATATGCTGTTATTAATCGCCCCCCAGTAGAACGAGCCTGCCTCTAGGACAAAGAAGGTCGTCAATAACCAACGAGTTGGGGCAGGACACAAAAACGAGGACGATGCAAGTTACGAGCCAGAGTGTAAGCGGGTGAGAAAGAATAAAGAGGCTAGGTGAGGAACTGCCTCGGGAGAAATCAGGGATGATCACAGAATATACCTCCCCTCGACCAGTTGACACAAAACGGTCGAGGTAGATTTCTGGAATACCCAAATAAATACTAAAACATGATACGAATTTATGATCCTTTGACTGATATAGTCTAATAGTGCTTAACAAGTGAAGTGATGGCACACATAGTTAATGTCAACATTTTATATGTGTGGGCACAAGGAAAGTCATTATTTAGATGCATTATAAACAATTATCACATGCCTAAGTTACTCATTACATCTTAAACATGGTTAAATTACATAAAAGCAACTTGTATTACAGCAGGTATGGCATGTATTCTGCAATCTGTGCTTGGGTTTATTTCAGTATATTCATTTACTGGTGTACAAGTAATTTATATCAAATGCGTTTATGAACAGTATCAACATGTATAAATCAATGATCACATCTGCGCGAATCTGCGGAGAAAGGGAGAAGATCTGGGAAGTCGCATGCCAACGTAAAATACCCTGTGATACCTCTTACTTCTTGTGGTCACGAACATTACTTAGCTAACCGTAATTAATTTGTAATCAATTCTACAACGTGGAACAGGTCAATTAGCCGAAGTAAAAAAAAAGTCAGCGAGGCGTGAGTTATAAATCCGTAATTTAAAAACAATGAGAGGTCAGTTACCGAGTTGAAGTAAGTATTTAGCCTTAATGACGATTATTTACTGCTAGGCAGGTGCATACAAGGGGGATGTGGAACATTGATCATTTAGTGATGTTCTTACTATTGACCAGGGTATATGTCTAAATACATATCGTGCACATGTTGGGGATTATTAAAAGTTAAATTAGATTCGGTATGTGGTGCTGGTGCCTATCAGACCAATGTATTACATGAACTGTCACATCGTTCAGGTTAGAAAATGTGATGAATTAGGGGACACATTTTTTCCTGTCATTACCGAAGGAGGCGTGGTGGTTTATTCTCCAATATCCACTATTATATGTACCAATTACACAATATTGATATATATTCTTATGTATTCTAAAATTTCACACACATGCGCGTAGTCAGTGTATGTATGCGGTTAGCACACGCCACACGCCCGCGAGTGGACACACACGGATTTGCATTTACTGGGTAAGTCAAAAATAGATATGGTAGGGGGTGAGTGTTCGTGGATATGACGGTGGGTAGAGAACCACCAACACGATTACTAACCAACAACTCCCCTGGGAAGGGTCATTGGTCAGACGCCCTATATAAAGACTAGTCAACTACAGGATGTTAACATGGCACCACGTAGTTCGACAAACACCGCACGTGCTGGCAGGAATTGGCAAAAAGGTAGTTTATATTGGTGTGTTGTGTGTGGTAACCAACAAATATCCTTTAAATATATTTAGACACGAACATTGTATTTTGATTGACAATAAAAAAAGAAAACATATATTACGTTCGTGAACGAGAACGTTTCAGCACAACATTAACAGTTGTTCATTGTTTATGATGAATATGAACATAGGAGATAGAAGGAGAATAGATGGGAGGTAGCTAGAGATAGTTAAATAGGTGGATAACAAGAGACAGGATGGATAGACATGGAATTGTGATTCGGTTAGAAGTAGAGATCTGAACTGAAGAGAGTGAGAAAAAGAGAACGAATAAACCTGGTAGTTAATTAGAAGCTAGATAAGTAAGTAGGTAGATATATATAGAGTAGATAAATTGTGTTAAAATAATGTGTTTGTGAATTCGCCACCCGCAAATGGTTAGCGAAGAACCGGAAGTCAGCCGTACAGCAGACGATAATCGGTCTTAAAAAGGTGGGGACTATAAACGAAATGACAAAGTCGTGCTAATTTATCGCATATATGTATGTTGCGGACCACAACTCACATTTATAATATACACAAATATAAATGTATATATCATATTGACCTGTACTATATTAAAATAGATAACAATCGATATATATACTACATGCATGTGAAGATCTATATAAAGTATATATAAAGTATCTATAAATGTATATACTATTATTAGATATTATAATATAATATGTGTGTGTGTGTGTGTGTGTGTGTGGGGTATGCCGCTATCATATGTACTATATTATATATATATATATATATGTGTGTGTGTGTGTGTGCGTTGTGTGTGTTGGGGTGTGGTGTGTTATATATATAATATATGTAAATTTATATATAATCTATGGTAGGGAAACCTCAATCCACAGGACACTAGATACAATTGATAATGCGACAACAATTCGAAATTCACCTGGCTTTATCTTCAACCTGATGTCGGTGGATGGTCCGAACAGTTGTCTCATTATCAACAAATCTAGTTTGTGCTTGTAGGTTTTTCTATCATAAATATTAAATGGAAGTGTTTCCCCATACAAAACATATATATATAATCTCTTATCTATTATATATATAAAGTAATATATATATATTATTATTGATATATAGATATATGTTTGTATGGTACAGTCTGTACCGCGCGCACAACACAACATGTATGTTATATAATAATCTCTCTCGATATGGCTCAATGCAGAGCAAATCAAAATGAATGTTTATGAGTAGTGAAAAAGGCCTCAAAATGTAAATTGTCTTCACCAAATGAAAGAGGTATTAAGTCTATAAAACAAAAAAAAACAAAAAAAATACGGAAAAAGACCATGGAGTAATCTTGGAAATATAGATCCGTTAAATATGCCACACATTTATTCCTTCAGCATGAACTGAGACAAAAGTAATAGTGAACTACGAAAATCGTGATGGGTGTTGTGCACGCATCATTTAGCACAAATCGTTGGTGGGAGTAAATAATAGTATCAAAGGGATAGGCAATGTAAACTTCACCTCATTGTGCTCTCATAAAAAAGAGTAGACAAAAATATCAAAGCTTCCTTGCATCTCTGTGCCAGAAGTCCTTACAAACGTCCCTAGGGGGGGGGGGGGGGGGGGGCCACCCCCCAAGGATACTGGATTCGTAGACAGTCTGCAATGTGACCATGGATGTAGACCTTATAGTGATGAAAATATATAAGATGTCAAGCACACCAAATCAAACCAACATCAAGTCCAATATGGCCACAACCTAGACCACGTAGCACATAGCAGCAGCTCCTGTACAGGAACGTTGGACTTTGAAAAGTCCTATGGAGCTACTGTTACTCCACCTGTACCACAGGCGTGCACCCGTTAAACGACGCGCTTTTATACGGAAAGTACCAGGCAAACCACGCCGTCAATGTTGTTTCCCCGGCAACAACGGTCCCAATGCCCGCCACCACCAGGGTTTCACCCCTTCCTGTAAATTTTCAATCAAATTATAGCGCCTAATTTTCAGTAATTTGGCTTGTGCATTGGCCGCCGGAGGCAGTAAAATAAAGCATTACATAAAAGAGTATATGAGAACTAAACCCGCTTTATGAGACTAACACCCTATATGATCTGAAGCTTCTGCCTGGATGTCAGCGCCATCTTCACAGTCACAGTATGGGACGCATAAGCGGCCAGGTCACTGGATTGCACGGCCGCGCCCCGTTCCTCACTTCCGAGGTTCAGGTCATGCCACAGTCGAGGTCAAGAAAAAGCACGCCATGCAACCGCGTTGAAGCAGGGGTGACATCGCGACAGAAAGCATGGTACAAGACGCGAAATCAAAAGAAGAGTCCGCAGGAGGCACATTGCCGCGCTTGTACACGTCACTGAAGGGGATATAATACTATAATAAATTATGACGTGGTAATTACTTTTCCATTACTTCGTAGATCACCGTGCAGCAATACATATGTATTTCGTGCAAAATTTTAAAATAATGTTTTGCGAATTTTCTACCTGCTAGGATGTGTTAATCTAATATTAATACAAACTACGGATTTTGTTGGTGCAATATATATATTGGTTAAAGTAAACAATATATAAACCCCTCTCCAGGGCGTTGTGAATAGGACGTATTATAAACACTTGATGCATGTTCTGTTTCGTCCGGTGTATAAGTCATGAGAAGCCATTATTCTCACAGCCTCATCAGATACATGAGTGAGATAAAAGAAAACAGAGGGTAGACCGTCCCATGAATCAAAAATAAGAACAACAATTCACCCCGAAGTGGTCATAAATCTGGGCGGTACCGGTATGGCAATGCAGCCGGAAGTTGGTATACCCACGTCATCATCGTCCCCTTGGTCCTCGAGCCACTTCATGCGGAAGACCATAGCGAATGTGTACGTCCTGGAAGTGGACTTGCGATACAAGGCCAATTCATCAAAGTATGTA